CTAAACCCTAAACCCTAAACACTAAACCCCCAAAGCCCTAAACCCCCAAACCCCTAAACCCTAAACCCCAAACCCCTAAACCCCTAAACCCCTAAACCCCTAAAACCCCTAAACCCCTAAAACAGTATCCGCCAGTTCTCCTTCGACGACGATGGCGAGAAAGGCTTCTCACGGGGCTGTTCGGCAATCGGGATTCCGGGTGGCTAGGGTAGGGTAGGGTAGGGTAGGGTAGGGTAGGGTAGGGTAGGGTAGGGTAGCGTAGGGTGGGGTAGGGTAGGGTAGGGAAGTAAGGTAGCGTAGATTCCCCCTTTATGCAGAGGTCTTTGTTGGGTTTAGGGTTTGGGGTTCAGGGTTTAGGGTTTATAGGGATTTAGAGTTTAGGTTTGTTTTTGGGGTTTTGGGGTTTAGGGTTTAGGGTTCCGGGTTTAGGGTTTAGGGTTTAGGGGCTTAGGGGTTTAGAGTTTAGGGTTTCAGAGGTCTTGAAGGACCACTTTGATACCAGATTGCAGAGTAATTAAACCCTAAATCCTAGCCCCTACACCCTACTGCAACCAACGCGGTAGCTTGTTCAAAAAGGCCGGGGGCTCCCCAAGAGATGCCCGACCAGCTCTGCACCCAGAGAACCCACTAAACCTTAACTAAGGAATATACCTTCAATTATAGGGGCCTTAAGGGAATATACCTTAATTTATAGGGGCCGTAAGGGAATATACCTTAACTTGTAGGGGCCTTAAAATTAGGATTTACGGCATATTCCTCAATTAAGGGGTATTGGGTTCTCTGGGCAAGCACGAGAGAGGACCTCCAAGTTTTGGAAGCCTGCTTTACAGACAGAAACCAGGCCCGCAAGACCACTTAATATAGGGGCCTGAATAACTAGAGTGCGATGTCAGGGTATGTTATACTATGATTATAATAAGGAGCCCCCGAAGCCCTGATCTAATTATTAAGGCCCCTACAGTAGGTGTTTAGGATATGTTGCGGGCTCTGGTGTAGTGGAATGTAGGGCTTTAGGATTTAGGGCTTCGGGGGGCTAACGGTCTAGGCCTGCAGGCACAAGTTGCTCACGCTTCGGGGGGTTTAGTTAGGGTTTCGGGCTTAGGGCATAAATCCAAAGCAAGAGCATGCCTCACAGGATTACTATGTGAAGTGGAAGGACAATGATCTCAAAGCAAGGTTCCTATCATTTCATCCACCAAGTGAGTCCTACCCTTACATCAACCTTGTGTCAAATGGATCAGATGGGATGCATCGGGCTGACAGATACCAGAATAGGATCCTTGGAAACTATGCTACGACAGACAAGATGTACATGGATATCCTCGATGAGTGCTGGTGTGGAGAGAACAGGGTACATATCCCGCTGCTGGTCCATAAGTTTCTCAGTGATGGAGCGGATGTTATGTTCTTTGGATCCTATTTACTTCATCAGGAGTCAAATTGCGCCGAGTACCATATCAGGGCCTCATCCATGGACAGATCCATACCGATTGGACCCGCTATCAAGGAGCAATCAGCCAAATGACGATCCAGAACCGGAGGAAACCCATCCTTGGGAAAAAGACTGGTATGTGATCTGGTGGTTCCGGTGAGAGACTTGCAACGGAAGGATTCTGCATGCCCTCGCCCAGGGTCAGTCTATAAGGTGGTTATGATGCATGCATTACCCTTAATAAGGAATAGGCCTTAGTTCCCAGAGTTTAGAGTCCTTAAGGTAATGCAGGATTTTTTTCACCAACAGTGCATCAGAGTCCCGTAGTGTGGTTTCTGATTCTCCCGTAGGTTGTCGGCCTGGGGGACGGACAGCTCATCCCAGAGAGCCCAATACCCCTTGATTAAGGAATATACCTAAAGTCATAATATTTAGGCTCCTATAACTTAAGGTACATTCCTTAATTAAGGAACATACCTTAAATCATAATATTAAGGCCCCTATAATTTCAGGTATATTCCTTAGTTAAGGGGTGTTGGGCTCTCTGGGTCAGTTGCTGCAGGCAAGACGGACAAGTGGCTGGAAAAGATCAACCACATGTCCAAGCTCCGTGGCTGCAGACATCGGGTGTACTGTTGATGCTCTAAATCCTTAGCATTACCTTCAGGACCCTAAACCATGGTAATGATGGTATATTCCTTATTATGGGTAATGCAGGATATTTTTGGTCTTCTAGGTTCCTGAGTAGTACCCTTTTGCCCTTTTTTTACTTTGGGTTCTCCTTGTTAAAACCGCATATCAGGAACCTAGTTTTAGTCTGTGGTCCTCGCACATACTTTACTTAATTTGAGCCACAGTGCTGCAGGCCCTCGAACGTTGTGGAAACATAGGCCCTAAATTTTAAATTCCAAAAAACTCGCTCCGTGCAACACCCAACGGGACCCCAAAGGCCTGAAGCCCAAGCCCTGAAACGTTTACAGGGAAGTACATGGTCTCTTTGGCAATGCGGTTGATGATATAACTCCTGCATTGCCCATAATCAGGACTATACCATATTTCCCATAGTTTAGGGTCCTTAAAGTAATGCAGGATTTATATCATCAACAGTAAGTAGGGTTTAGGGTTTTAGGGTAACAAGTAGCGGCCTCCTCGCGAGGCCTCTGGGTTTTGAGGGTTTTTAACCCGGCAGACAAGTGAGTTCTTGACACCATGGGGCTGTAGCTCTCCAGGGACTTTTTTTTCGGGTTTAGGGTTTTGGCTCAAGGGGAGTCGAAGGTCTAGGGTTTAGGGTTTAAGGTTTGGGGTTCAGGGGTTTAGGGGTTTAGGGTTCAGGATTCTGTATTTTTGGGGTATCTTGAGTTGAAAGGGTGACTTTCAGCTGCATCCGCACACTACCACGACAGCAACGACGACAAGGACGAGGACGACGATAACGACAGCTACTACCTACTTCTTGCCCATAACTCACCATGTACTACTTAATGCTCACGACTTTCTTCTTACGACTTGCCAAGTAATCTTTCTACTTACTACCTACTATGCATTTTCGATGAGTACTACTTCATACTGACTGAATACTACGACGACGGCTAGTACCACTACTATTGCTACGGTTGGTGATATAAATCCTGCATTACCCGAAATAAGGAATAGACCATACTTCCCATTGCTTAGGGTCCTTAAGGCAATGCTAAGGATTTAGATCATCAACCCTAAACCCTAAAACCCTAAACCCCTAAAACCCCTAAAACCCTAAAGCCCTAAACCCCTGAAGCCCTAAATCCCTAAAGCCCTAAAACCCTAAACCCCTAAAGCCCTAAAGCCGTAAAGCCCTAAACCCTAGAATCCTTCGACTCCCTCAACCCTAACCGTACCACCCGTCTCTGCCTGAGGAAAGTCCAAGCGGCACCCGCTGCAGCCAAAGAGTCTTGGCCTCAGCTTTCAGCTCGCCTCGGCACTCCCCTCATTTAGGGTTTAAGGTTTAGGGGTTTAGAGGTTTAGGGTTTTGGGGTTTAGGGTTTTAGGGTTTAGGGTTTTAGGGTTTATGGGTTTAGACGCCTAAAGAATCACAAGTACCATATTTTTTGGGGGTGTCCTTACTTGAAGTATACTAGAATGTACCCCAAAACCCTATATGCTAATTATTAAGGCCTGCGAGACAGTTTAGGGGTTTAGGGCTTAGAGGTTTGGATTTACGGGTTTACGGTTCAGGGTTTTGGGGCTTGGGGGTTTAGGGTTGCCAGGGTCGTCGGCAAGAGCTTCCAAAGACTGAAGGCAATCTTATAGAAACCCTAAACCTTAAAGCCTAAACCCCTAAACCCTAAACCTTTAAGCCCTAAACCCTAAACCCGTAAACCCTAAACCGTGCCTGGAGTCTAGCACTGAAGTTCTGGAGCTTAGTGCTTTGAGTTTCAAGCCAAGCTTGCGAGCTTTAGGAGGAATCCTAGCGGAGGTTTCCTTGAGTCGCTGCTTTACGCACACTATACTATAGTATAGTATACAATACTAGACTAGACTATACTACACTATACCATAGCATATTACTTGAATCGACTAGCTAACACTATAATCGCTTCCCTCTAACATTAAACCCCTCCCTAATATAAAAACTGCCGGCCCCCGGAATTGTGCGGTTTCGAGCCCACAATTGAAAGTTAATTAAAAACATTAGGGGGGGGCTAGGATTGTACGGCCTCTGTTAATTACCTGAGACGGAAGGCAGAGTGCCAGAAGGCAGAGTGCCACATGGTGTTATGATACCCTGTGCATCACTTTTGCGTCGGCCTTTGTTAATTATTAATTCGCTGCAAGAAAAAAATACATAGTTGCAGACGTGAGACGTGGGAAAAAGAGACCTTCGCACATCAAAGAGACCTTGGTGCATCTTGCCCTTGCCCTGTGCCAGGTCTTCTTGATCCTCTACATCATCGAGCTTGTTATCTTGCAAAAATCTTTTCAAATCTTCTTTTCAAGACTTATTATTTTGTCAAAATTCGTCTTATGTTGTCAAAATTTGTTTTTTGTCAATATTTGTCTTTTTGTCAATATTTGTCTTTTTTTCTCAATATTTGTCAATATTTTATCTTTATTTGTCAAAATTCGTCTTTATTTGTCAATAGTTTGTCAAAATCTGTCTTTACTTGTCTACATTTGTCTTTATGTGTCTTTATCTGTCTTTTTGTTGTCTTTATTTGTCTGTATTTGTCAAAATTTGCCTGGGCTGCCTCAAAACCTTACTTGATTCTAAGTCCCTTCAATCTAGGTCGTCGCAACCGGTCAATGATTTGCTATTTTCGGAGCCAAAAAGTTACCACTGAGTCATTTTGCTGAAAAGCTGAACAATTACATTTAAGAGAAGAAAAGCTACAACTAAGTGTTCTACCGGAGGCTAAAGCGGCTGAAGTCCAAAGCAGGTTTCTTGGTCTCAGAGGGGAAGGGATTCGGGGAAAAGGCGGAAGAGGGCCAAAGACTGAGAGGACTGTGCGAGACCGTGTAGAGCTGATGCGAGTGCGAAAGACCGATTCTTGTTTCGCGAAGTTTCTGCGTTGTGCTGCTGTCTCGTCGAAAGGTGGCATTCAATGGCTCCCTTTGTTACTTCAGCATCAAGGAGAACAAGCGTCGGATCCTTGAAAAAAGGCTTTCAGCGGTTTGGAACTTTTTCGAAATTCGAGGCTTGGTCCTCGTAGATGGATCGAAGCTCACCGGCGCCAAGGCTAGCCTCTTCGGAAGCATCCGCCCGCTCGACCTGCCCCCCCCTTTCCCCCACCGCTTTCCTTGCTCAGGTGACCCCACTCGTCGGCGCGGCGCGCGAGTACGCCTTCAGGTCCCGATGAGATTCGTTCTTCATGCTTTCTGAGTTCTGAAGTCTTTCTCTTCTGCCCAAAAAAAATGAAAGGTTGCAGTGCTACACCCACGACGAGCATGAGAAGGTGGGCAAGCTGGGGGGATGTAGTGAGTTCGGGAGTTTCGGAAGTTCCTGAGGACGTGAACATGTGCTTCTCTGCGGAGTCTCCGGAAGAGCTCGGAGCTCAGCCGGCAAAGCTGAGGAGACGCGTGACGTGACACGCCCGACGCGGTGAGACTCGTCTAGTGTTTTCGTGGTGGTATTTTTTGGCGCAGCGACGCCGGCAGGTACACGAAGTGGACAGGGCTTCTGATGCACACCGCCAATATGGACGGCCCGTCGACCCAGAAGCGGTCTCGCTTGCGGTTGCCCAAATGCTCTGCGAATGCGAGGTGCGATCCAGACGGTGCGCCTTGGCGGGGACGTCGCTGCTGAGATCAAGCAGTTCAGGCGAGCTCGAGTACGAGCCAAACGGAGCCTGTGGCTGCTGCGTGCTGCTGCACTCCTGAGGCTAAATGTGAAGAATCGTCGAATGAAGGTCGGCGAGGACAAGAAGGATCAGCTGCTCACTGAGAGAGTCTAAGAGAGAAGAAGAGAGAAGAAGAGAGAAGACAGAGATCCAGAGAGTAGAGACTCTGGCTTCTGGCCGCACTTTCAGAATCGCACAAGAGTGAAAAAATGATTCTGTGAAGATGCCTGTCGTTTTCTTCTCCAGACCGCGAAGCTGAGAAGGAGAGAGAGAGGAGAGAGACGCTGAGGTTCGCCCCGGTCTTCAAAGCGAAGCTTTGGAAGGTCAAGGCCCGCGGGGGGGCGGGGGCCTCCTCGCCTTGTCGCATGCGAAACGGCGCAGGCGGAGGGCGACCGGCGGAAGGAGGAAGATTGGCGCCGCCGCCCAGAGCCTGCAGCTCCGCCCCGCAGCGGTCGCTCTCGCTCCGCTGAGGTTCGAGCGCGAGATGTGGATTGCGAAGAACGGCAGTCTCGTCTACTGGAGCAAGAAGGAGGCGCGGGCGCACTGCGCTTGGCCTCGGAGTCGCTCGATAATCTGCGACTGCGACTTGCCCTGCGAGGACCGTGACCTGGTCTACTACACCTCCGAAGCTCGGCAAAAAAAAGAGAAGTTCCCTCGGCGACACTGCACAGAGTCACAGAGAGGTCTCCACTTAACTCATGTATCATGTTGAAGGCATCAGATCACGGCCCTCTCTCTCTTTCTGTGCCGCTGGCGACGCTTCCTGCTCAGGATGACATCGCACGCGCGACCATCACGCTGATCCCCAACGATGATAGCTTCATCCCCTGGGCTTTCCAGGCCTGGCTGTTTCCAAGGCCATTCACACACTTCCAGGGCAATGCCCAAGCGCAGCTCGAGGTCCACCTTCCCCCGATTGGAGAGGTGGAGTTCACACCCGGCGAGTTTGCCGCCGAGTCCGAGGCCACTATTTTACGCCGCGTCAGAGCCGTGAGCAGAGAGGCCTATAGACAGAAGCGACTGAGGCGATGCGTGACTGTTGGATCGAGGAGTTGGTTTCTGAGAGCCCTGCTAGCCCTTTCGACGCAGCTGCGGCGCAGCTGCCTCCGACTCCTTTGACTGAGGCTGAAGGAAAGGGTGGCTGATCCAAGATGACGGCAGAGAAATGGCAACCCCCGGCCCGGCCCCCGCCTTGGCGAGCGCTCCTCGTACTTCAGACGATCGGCAACCGCGGTGCAACCTGCAGGTGTCTGCGCGCCCCCCACGCGCGCACCTCGAGGAGGAAGCCCTGCATATCTGAAATCTTCTCCACTGAGAGCATGGAGGGAGCCTCGGCACACCCCAAAAGACCGGTGCGTGCCAAACTAGCCCTCTGCCTCTCTGTCTCACCGCGAGCGGGGCTCCAGAGCTCAGCTATGGACCTGGAGGCCCAGTGGGCAGTGGGATATGCAGAGTGGGATGCGAATCGCGCTCTGAGCCCAGCTCGCTCGCACGGCGGCCGCACTCGAAGCCAGGGCGAACTTCAGAAAGCCCTCACCAAGCCCTCAAACACCAAGCCCTTCAGAGGCGAGTGCTGCGACTGCACGGGAGTGTGGAAGGTGACACGCCCCGTGTCAAAACGCCGTTGGTCACGGACTTCATCAGACCTCGCCAAGAAAAAGCTGCATATGCCACACGAAAAAGAAGGGCAGCAAGGCTTGAACTTGAGTAGTGACGAAGGGATGAGGTTCACCCCGCCGAAAGAAACGGTCGTTGCGGCTGAGTTTGCAGACGACTCCCACAGATCAAGACACGGCTTTGAAGGCTTGGACATCTCGTAGAGCTGCTGTTGTCCCAGCGCACTCTGCGTCTTCACCTGGCAGCTCACTTCAGAGGACCCTCTGTTAAAACGTTCTCGGCTGCCGCCTGCCCCTCTGTAAGCATGACAACACTCTGCCCAGCACCGCGCCGGCACATAAGACGGGCTCGGGAAGTACAGAAAACACTAGGCCACCTGGTGGCTTCAGCGAATACAGCCTTTGCTTTCTCTTTCTCTTGACCTTTGCAGCTTTCCAGGGTCGCCAAGGTGTGTGAGAGGAGTGCTCTTGGCAGCATCGAAGGAGTCAAAGGCTTTGCGTTTGCCAAGTTCAGGTCGTTAGCCAAGGCGTCTGAAGATCCCCCTACCCCCCCCCCCCAAGCGNNCCCCCCCCCCCCCCCCCCCCAAGCGGTGATGAGTGGGGTTTGCTTGCCCGTCCTGCCGTCCTACGCCGGCCCGGCTCAGTTAGTGGAGCTCTCAAACACGCAGCAAGCTCAGCAAGCTAGGCAGCTCGGCAGCAAGTCTATAAAAAGAATCCGGAGAACACGAGACGAGCCAAGTCCCCACACTTCGGAGACAGAGTCAGAAGGAGGCTCAGCTCTCGTGCAGCTCAACATTTCTGTGGGTCGCCGCCTCAGCGCCCGGCCCAACAAGCGAAGTTGTGCGATGCTGTGCACCGAGGCTGGCCGCGGCTCCAAGTCGCGTGCGCCCACGGCAAGGAGGAAAGTCAACGAAGAGAGGCGCTCGGGTTTTTTTCCTCCCCCTCCCTTATAACCGACACCCCTCACTGCAGCCTTTTTTCGCGGAGGACCGATGCTGGGGATTTTCAAGGAGGAGCCGGAGCTGCGGGTGCACGCCGCGGGCCCAGCTCTCACTCAATGTCTTCTCCTTCTTCTCTCAATTCCTCCTCCTTCCCCCACGCTCCCCCTCTACCTCTCAAGGAATCACAGATCATGCACCGCGTCAACGCCTTCCGCGGCTGGAAGGAACAGCGCCAGCCTCGGAGCTGCTGCGCGGGCCCAAGCCACGCCAGCCCCGCACACTCAGGTTTCGAAAAACTGAAGGAGGCATTGAGTCCTTCGCAGAAGGATACAAGATCTTCGGTTTCCAGAGGCCTCGCCGCAGCAGAGTGCCACGCCACCACGCCCCACGTGACCCCACATGCAGAACGAGCAGAGAAAGGAGAGAGAGTGAGGGGGAAAGGTTCTTAAAAGCTTACATAAGGCCGCAAAAAAAGGCGAGAGAGACGCGCAGCGGCGCAGAGTGTGTTTCTCTCTACCTTCAGGCACGAGGCCGAGAAGAAGTGGAGCTTCAGTGAATGGCTACCAGCAGCAAGGAAAGTTTTCCTCGTAGGAGAATTCAATGCTTGGGAGCCTTGGCGGCAGAGATGGCAGGCAACTCCCCTTCTATCTTCGTCGGAGATGTGTGCCTGCGTGCGCGTGTGCGCGTGCGCTACGCAAAAAAGGAGAAGACCTATCCCATGACACGTTGCCGGATGCTCGGATCCGGGGACTCGGGACTCGGGTGGACGCGCGGTCGCGGAGGGGCTTCCTCCTCGCGCTGCTCCGAGGCGAATACGGTCGCTGGACGATTGACTTGCCTGATCATGACGATGGTCGCTGGCTCGTACCTCACAGGCCAGCAGATTTGCGCAGGGAGCCACTTAAGCCACTTATTTTTAGCTAGTCGGAGTCCGAGCTCAGAGGGCAGAGCCATCGTGCGTCGCAGGTCCCAGATCCGTCCGGAGCTCGGGCCCGGCAATGGCGAGAGAAAGCGCGCAGAGATGGGCGCAGAGCGGCACAGGGCAGAGCGCCATAGGGCACCTCTCCCTCCTTCGAGGATTGCGAATCGAGTCGGAGTCCGGGACCTTCGACCGGGTGCCGGCGTGGACGAAGTTCGCAGAGGCCGTGTCTCGTGGGTTTTGTGGCGCCCTCTCGCCTCCGCCCCCTCCCCGGCCCTCCGCCTCCGTGAGGACACGGCCTTGCACGTCTACAACGCCGTGATGTGGGAGCCCCCGCCGGCGGAGCGCTACATCATGCGCCACGCGAGGCCGGGGTGGGAGAGGATGGAGCTCCGCCCTGGCAGAGTTTTCCGCAGAGGCCAAGGAGACCGAAAACTCTGAAGATCTACGAGGCACACGTGGGCACTGCTGGCGAAGATGCCAAGGCTCCCCACACGCCGGCGCCTGAGACAGCTCCGCTATCTGCACGGCACAGCACCAGCCCTCTGCTTTCAGGTACTTGGAGTTCAAGGCCTCCCCGCTCCCGCGCATCGAATCCGCGACCGCGACCTCCGAAGCATTTACAAGTCTCGGGTCCGTGCGCATCTCGCTCCGCGGCGCCTGGGGCACGACCGGTTGTGGTGAGGGGGCAGTCGGGCCGTGATGGTCCCGAAGCACCGAGACAATGCAGGTGGGGTGTGCAGGTGTAACAACGCTTCACATTTGGCTGCGCCAGTGGGCGGCTACTGACCGCTTCGGCCGGGGCCGCAGGCCCTGCCCACTGACATGCCGGACACACAGTGACATGAAATCCACCCGCAACGGCGGCTGCCGCAACGGCGGCTGCAGCATCCACACATCCCCAATGAAAACTGCTCCGAGAATCCACACACGCCCCAATGAAAACGAGTCGTGTCTTGCCTTCTGAAGGAACTTACATTCAGGGTCTTGGACCTCTTGGAACAGTCCCGCGGAAAGGCGGAGACTCAGCCTGCCAGAACCCGTGGAGGCTGAACATCGTGAAAGGTTCAGAAGCACCGGCCTGGCAAAGAGGGTGGAAGGCCGTGCTACAGGGCGTACCGCGGCGCACCCCAAGTTCTCCCATTGCCCTAAAGGAGGTCTCCTGTGTTGGAGGGAGGGGGAGGAGATGTGCTCCGAAAGAAGGGCCGGAGCACGATCTCCAAACAGTTGAGCACGGTACGCGGATCATGCATTGCCACGCCATTCGATCTTTCTTGCGCGCTTCGAGATGCAGAAGGGATTGTGGCCCCGGCTGCCATGCCGTGAAGATCTGGACCAGCGCTCTCTGCCGCAGCTCGGTTCTGCAAGCAAGAGAGTCCCAAAGCTCCGAACCCTTTTCCTGTAAGGCACGACTCTCGTTTGCGCACTTATGCGGATGTTGATACGCCTGGCCGCCTCGACGTAAGCATTCTGGAGATCTGAGCCTCCGGAAGTAATCGTGGCATGTCGCTTTTGCTCTCACGAGTCACGCGTGATCCTTGCCGGGCTTGCAGTGAATCCAGCCTTCGACGTGTCTCCGGTCTCTCAAGCGGGGCGTGCACCGGTCTTGCAGGCAGTGCTTCCTAAGATCAAGAGCTTGGGCTACAACACGGTGCAGGCGCGGGCGGGCGCGCGCCCAGCGCGCGATGCAGTGCGCAGCCGCCGCGCTCTCCGTTTGCTCCGTGCAGTTCTTGGCCGTGGCGGAGCATTCGGACTATGCCTCCGCGGGTCGGGGCCCCGGGGCGCCCGAAGCACGAAGCCGACGGAGTCGGGTCCCCGTTTTCCTTGGGAGGCCGGCAGGTGACCAGCTTCTTCGCACCCTCCAGCCGCTTCGGGACGCCCGAAGAGTTCAAGGATCTCCGCCGAGCGCATCTGGCCGTTTTTGCCAGCATCCTCTCCGCAGGAGCTAGTGGACACAGCGCACGCCCACGGCCTCACGGTGCTGATGAGCTTGGTGCATTGCCAGCTCTCCCCGCATGAGTGCCGGCACTCGGCTGAAAGTCTTCTGGTTGCACCGCGATTCCGCTTTCCTTATTAGGCTGGACGGCATCGCGTCCATGGACGGAACCGACTGCTACAGGCCAACAGTGCACATCGCGTCTGCAAGTGAAAGCCTGCACCGGCTCCGAGGCACGCTGGCAGCAAGGGCTGGCAGGCGCGACTCAAAAACTGCCAAATCGGTCAGAACGGCTGCAATGTCATGGTTTTGCGCTTCTCTTCGCAAGGAGTCTTGGGCTGCCGCGCTCTTTGACTACGGCAAGTACGAGGCACTCCGCAGAGCCTGTGCCAAGGCATTGAGACAGGGCCTCCGGCAAAGGTGCTGCGGTTCCTCCTCTCCAACCTCCGTTGGTGGATTGAGGCCGCTGCATCTCACCGCTCGACGAATCTTCTAGTCTGTTCACGCGACCGAGGAGTACGGCATCGACGGCTTCTGCTTCGCAGGCATCACCAGCATGCTGCTCGTGGCCCCAGTGTTTAGTGCGGTAAGAAGAGATGGATAGAGCAAAGTTCAGAGAGGCTTGTCGTCGCTCTTTAGGTACCACTCCCACGGAATCGGCAAGTCCTTTACCAACTCCAAAGAGCCGAAACCCCAGGGAGAGGAAACACGGCGATGCATGCCGCCCGCCTGCCTCACGCCCTCCGTGGCCAGAAGCCGCTGCGAGCGCTTTACACGCACATGTTCTTCTCCCTCTCTCTCGCTCTCACTCGCTCTCTTTCTTCTCTCTCTTGAGGCACTTCGGCTGGGACTCGGACCTCGAGCTTCGCTCTCAGCCGGCGCCAAGAGCTTTGCGCCAGCGCGCTCTCGCCTCTCTTCTCCACGTCTCTGCCATACACAAATGGTACGTGGCGATGATGATATATCTTTCTGACTAGTAGGAGTGATAGTACTAGTGCTGTAGTAGTACTGGTAATTCCAATAGGAGTAGTAGTCTGCAGTAGCCGCAGCAGTAGCAGTTGCAGTAGCAGTAGCAGTACCAGTAGTAGTCGTCGTCGTCGTCGGGTCGTCGTCGGGTCGTCGTCGTAGTCGTCGTCGTCGNNGTCGTCGTCGTCGTTGTCAATGCTGTTATGTACCCGTTGTAATTTCAATTATCTTGCTAGCACAAGCATTTTTACGATCACAGTCACTTCCGTCACTACATAGCAACAAGAACAAATAGTAAGACTATTGCAAGTTCTCGCTGTTTAGCAGTTTAGCATGAGTATGATCATTGTCGTTTTCCGGGAAGGATCCATCTATACATGCATGCACACATCCCGGAAGACAGACAGACACACACACACACATATATATATATATATTTATTTACATACATGCACATGCACACGCAAATATGTGTGTGTGTGGGTGTGTGTGTGTGTGGGTGTGTGTGTGTGTGTGTGTG